AGGAGCTCAGTCCCCAGCCGCCCCTGTGCTCCCTGCCAGCTGCATCTGTGGACATCAGCCCCACGGACCCTGTGTCGCCTCTTCGGCCCATTGATGCCCCTCCTATATTAAACACCCAAGGGGGAATAGGATGGGTGAGTGAATTGCCACTGAGATGAAGAGTTTGGTTATGGTCACGTTGGCAGGGGAATCCAGCCCTGGCATGGATGGGGGCAGGATGGGAGTAGGCAAAAATCTCCCTGTGGGCGCAGTGGAAGTGAAGGCTGGGACAAGCCCTGTTGGGGCTTGCAGCCCGGTGCTGGCATCACACTGGGGATGCAAGCTGCAATGAGCAGCATCTGCCTGTGCCACAATGCCTGCTCCTCCCTTTCTAACGAAAAGCAGATTTTGGGCAATTTGGACCTGTAGGAGAAGAAGTGGGAAAACTGAGCCCTTCGCTGTCCACAAGCATCACAACCCTGCTGCCACCCCAGCCGCTCCGGCTTGGGGTAGCGAGAAGAAACCTCTGACCGAGCGCCCATTGCTTAAATCTGTCCCCCTCTGTCCCCTTCTCAGAGCAACGGCAAAGGCAAGGACTGCGTCTTCACGGAGATCGTCCTGGAGAACAACTACACGGCACTGCAGAACGCCAAATACGAGGGCTGGTACATGGCCTTCACCCGCAAAGGCCGCCCACGCAAGGGTTCCAAGACCCGGCAGCACCAACGGGAGGTACATTTCATGAAGAGGCTTCCCAAGGGCCACCAGACCACCGAGCCCCACAGACGCTTTGAGTTCCTCAACTACCCCTTCAACCGGAGAAGTAAAAGGACTAGAAACTCCAACTCCAGGGCGGGCCCTTGACTTGCCTGCCTCTGCCCGCCCTGCCTGCACCTCTCCCGGAGGACTCTTCTCCGAGCTTGGTGGACTATATGTAGACTTTCCCATATGGGTATTAAACAAAAAAAAAAAGGGAGGGGAGGGTAAAAAAACAAAACAAAACTTGCTTTAGTTGTTGATAATTTTGGGGGGTGTGTTTGGTTTTTACAAAAAAAAAAAAAAAAGAGAAAAAAAGAAGAGAGGCTCTATTTTTGTACTCCAACTTTAAAAGAAATGAAACGTTCAAAGACTGGTGAAGGGGGGAAGAGCCCTTCGCTTAGAAATGTTCTAGTCTGTTTTTGGGGTCGCGTTTTATTTTGTAATTTTTTTTTGTAGCTCTAGGGGAAAGGAGAAAAAAAATCACCGTTTAAAACAAACAAGCAAAAGAAAATGGAAATCCAAATCTGGGAGCGCTATGCTACTTAAATGAACTGAATTAATGCTTACCGGAGAAGATGGAGAGGTTGGAAAACAATTACAAGGAGGGGATTTATTTCAGAGGTGGTTGGAGGCCTCCCGGGTGGGTTTTGCAGCCTGGGTGATGTGTGGGCACTGCCTGTGGGGGCTGGCTGCGGCGCCCGGGGTGAGGACCGCTGGGTGCTCTCCTTCCTCGAACGCGCCTACTTCTTCGGCTGAGCGAGGGGTTGCTGGAAGCCGCTTGCATGCTTCTGAAAACGCTGCTGGCTTCCCAACTCCCAACTTGTTTTTTTTCTCAGGAGGGGACGGGGTGATGAACGCCCCAGAGAAAGTCCTGAACTGACTTGGTACCTCTTACCCACGAGAGCATCTTTGGCATTTGATTTGTTTTAAACTACTAAGGTGAGGCAGTGGGCGACGGCTGCCATGGAGCGGGCTGGTAACTGGTGTTTTTTGGTTTTTGGTTTTTTTTTTTTTCCCATGTGGAGAATGTGAACTTCTCACCAAAAATTGGTATTTTTTTTCTGTTTATATTTTTTTTATCAGATGGAATTTTTCATCTGTAAAATTAAAAAAAGTTTACAAATTACTGTGGAGCCATTTCGGGCTGGTTTTGTTGTAATATTCAGTTTGTGGTTGGCATTTCCATTGTCGACCATCTCTTCCAGATTTGCTCTTTGATGAGAAATACCACCGTCCTTGTCCTCCTAGGAAAGGAGAGGTTTTCTTTCAAAATTTCTGTATTGACAGAAGCCCAGTTTTCTATTTAGAAAAAAAAAAACGAAGGAAACATTAAATCTCTTAAGTGAACATCCCCAGCCAGCCCCGCTCTCTGCACATGCTGCCCTGGGACTGCGACTCTCTCCAAAGGGTTAAAGCAATTATTCTTCATGGGGAGGGCAAACAAAGACACTGGATAGGAGCCAGAACCAGGGGTGACTTTTCATCCAATCTTTTTTGATTGTTTGTTTTTTCTGTTTCCTTGAGGATTTTTGTTTTGGTTTGGTTGTGTACAAATTGAGTATGAAATGATTGAAATATTTATTTAATATGTGCATTAAAAATTTGTATTAGTCTCACTGAGCCTGATGCTTTCCAGGGAGGGGCAGGTTGGAGAGGGGCGCAGGAGGACGGCGAGGTGCAGGATGGGGCTGAGGCTGCCACTTGGCGTGAGCCCCTTCCCGAGGGAGCAGATGTGGGAAGATGCCCCGAGATCTTGGACCCAGATGAGTCTCGTGGAAATCATGGTTTTCCTTGCAGCAAATTCCAGGTTTAATGGGCAGATACCACCTCCTTGCCCTGTGGGTACAGGCCCATTGCAGGCTGGATGGAGACATAGTGCAGCGGAGCCTTGACCACTGGTTTTAAGTATGGGATGAGGATTTCCAAGAGAGAAAGCAGCTATCTGCTCCCCTCTGGTCTAGATGAGCTTGGTGTTTGTGCAAAGCGAGTTGTTGGGTCCCCTCTTTTGGTGGATACTCAGCCCTGCCAAGGTGCTGGGTCTTGCTCAGAGGGGCTGATGGGGGACTCGGGTATGGAGTGGTCTCAGATGTGGTCAGATATGGAAGGATGCAAGAATAAAATTGTTAAACATGTTTTTTTAAAAAAAAAAAAATTACAGAAATGGAGCAGCCTTGCAAGGTGAGAGTTTCACCATCGCCAGTCCTCAGCGCCGCTGGCGCTGCCATCCTCAGGGGGTGTCTGCGGCATCGTTTAGTGCTCAGGGTGTTGCTTGTCTGCAGGGACAAGCCATCCCCTGGCTGATGCCGCAGGCTGGGCTGAGCTGTCAATATATAGCATTAATTTCAAGGAGGGAAGCCTGCGGACCGAGCACTCGGCCGTGCTCTGTGTGTGAGCATCACTGCTGTGTCACAGAGGTCGTGGGTGATGCTTGGGCCGTAGGACAGAGCTGCTAAAGGCAGGAGGCCTTTGCCTAGCTGTCCCAGGAGGGACCCAAGGACTACAGAAGCCCGGAGCTGACAGCACTGGGGCAAGCCCATGTTATGGTCTCCAGACTACAGGAATTAAAAGTGAATGGCTCCTGGCCTTTCCCCAGGCAGAGATGGTGTTTGATAGTCCTTAATGGGTGCTTTTCTTTCATTAATTTGTCTAATTGCTTTTCCTAATGGCTTTGTGAACCTGGGTGAATTGGTGCTGGGTTGGTAAGGGTAGCAGAGCGGCAGGACTGGCTCCGTGTAGGTCAGCAGATGTCCCCTCCTATGTTACGTGTCCTGCAGGGACAGCGATGGCAGGAAAGGGTGTGGTGTGGGTGCTCAGCCTGCAGTAAGGCTGTGCCCCCATCCCTGCCATCCCGGGGTGCAGCCGAGGGCTGGAGCAGGGGGCACCCAGCACCCTGGGGTTTTGAGCCGGGGAAGGCCACCCCTGTGTCCTTGCACAGCTCTGTACCACACACCGTCCCCTACTCCTGCCATCTGCTCTGCTGCAGCCTGCCTTTGTGAAAGGCACCCAGGCCTGGCTCCTGGGAAGGGACACCCTGCTTTCCCAGCTTGCTTGGTCTGTGGTTAATTAGCACCTTTTCATTAAAGCGCCTTTGGGTGTCCATGCTGCCTAGGAGCACTACAACGTGGGGCTTTGTTTATTGCTTGAATTTGTCCAGGTTCAGCTTCCAGCCAGCGAATGTTGTTTTGCCTTTGCTTGGAAGATTAAAGAGCCCACTACTAGTTAGTTAATGAATAAGTGAATTAATTAATGGTTCCTCATACCCTGTCTCTGCACTGATACCACTTAGTCCCTGGCATAGTTGGAGCAGCTCACGCTCTTCATGGTGACCTGGGCCCTGCAGGGTCCTGAGCGCGTGGTCCTCCAGGGCTGGTAGCTCCCACCACCCATGCAGGGAGATGGGGACAGTCCCTGGTGGTACCTGCTGTTCCTCCAGGGACGCAGAAACCCTGGCTGCTGGTTGAACCTGCAGGGTCAGTCATCAGCCCAGGAGTCAGGACTTTTCCCTCCTCCTTCATCATCAGTGGGTGTGTGGACCAAGCTTGAGAATCACAGCCACCCAAAGGCCCTGGGGACTGCGGGACACTGAGCTGGGGCTGGACCCAGGACAGCGCTGGGGACGGGAGGCTTTGGAGGTGGGTGTTCGCTTCCATCAACTCATGCTGTTAGCACGGGAGTTTTGGGCAGAAACCCCTGCTCCGAGCTAGCAAAGTCCTTGTGACAGGGATGTGCCTGTCCCTAGCGCCACCACTCCCAGTGTCACCCTGTGGTCCCCTCACTGCCATCGGCCGGCCGGAGGGAGGTGGCAGATGAAGCAGGAGAGGAGCCGTACCGCCCTGGCTGGTGGCACAGGGATGACTGCCCCGTCCTGAGCTCCAAGCGGTGGTGCATGCATGTCCCTGCCCGTACAGGACTTTGCCGCACGATGCTGTCAGGACACAGTGACAAGGCTGGAGCTGAGCGACGTTTGGGAGAGTCTGCCTCATGAGAGGGGACTGGGAAGCCCGGCTGGTCCAGCCAGCCAACGCGGGGTAAGAAGTAAATGTGGGGTGAATACACCAGGGCAACACCAGGGAGGGAGAAGAGCTGTTTTCACATTAAATGTGGTTATGGCAGAGAAACAGTAGACGGGCAGGAATAAATCAAAGTGGCAAGAAAAGGGGTCTGTGCTGTCTGAGCAGGGGCTGCACCAGGGCTTGATCCACCAAGCCCCAAACCTTTTGGCACATGCTATCTCCGCTCCCATCCATTCTCTCACTTTACAAACGCCGCTGGGCTTCATTGCAGGGCCAACCCATGACAACTTTGCTGCGAGATCTGCTTGGGGAAGGGTGCCCACCGAGCAGGGTGGGCTGCATGGTGCTGTGGCAGGGTTGGGGCTCGCCCAGGCCCCCTTGGGCATGCCCCAGCTTGGGAAGAAGGACAGGGGTGTTTGTTTATTGCATCAGGCTCAGCTTTCAAACATCTCCCTGCCATCCCCTTCCCCCTCCTTTAATTAATTCTGGGTAAGAAGTCCTGGCTTTATTGTGCCACCGAGCTGAGGGCTCCCTGTGGGAAAAGTCACACCTTCTGAACAGCTTCTGATACCATGCAAATGAAGGACAAGTCCAGGAAACGCTTTCATCTCGGACCTGTCCAGCCCCCTGCCCATTAATTACACACATTTCATTTGTGTGAGAGCAATTCCTCTAGGGGAGGGGGCGGGGGACGGCCGCGGCTTGTGGATCATCTCGGCCCCGCTCTCTAAAGACCCCTCCTTGGAATGGGGTTTATAGCCAGAAACGGGGATGCTCAGGGGCTCAGTGGGGGAGCCCGTATTTCTGCTCTCACACAGCTACTCCAAATCAAACTGGCTCATTGGCAGGCTGCATCAGGTCAGCAGGGAGGGTTCAGCACTGCCCCATGCCCAGCAAGCCCCAGCTGTGGACCCAAATGCCGCAGGAGCATTTGGAGGGAGGTGCAGGACGGAGCAGAAATGAGCTCAGTGCTCTTTTTCCAAGCGAGTGACTCTTCAGGGCCAGGAACTCATGAGATGGGTAACTTTGGGCAAGGTGACCACAAAATGAGTCCCATG